TACATGGGGGACACTACATGGGGGACACTACATGGGGGACACTACATGGGGGACACTACATGGGGGACGCTACATGGGGGACACTACATGGGGGATGCTACTTCGGGGCATCCCCCCATCGCGTTCCCGAGTCACCGCGTCACTGTGTTAACCACTCCCCCTTGGCCATCTCCTTACCTGCTCGAGGAGGCTCCGAAAGACGGCCCTCTGGATGTCCTCATAGAGATCATAAAACGTGACATATGTATAATCCCACAGGCCCCATATGCCGTAGGACACCAAAGACATGAATTGCTCATTGATGAAGTGGGCGGCGTACGACTTGCACAGACGTTTGAAGTAGATTATTTTTTTCTCCTCCCGACTGGGACTCACAAGAGGGACGTCCTCCTTGCGCAGCAGATCATGCAGAAAGGTGGTAGGAGGTCTCTCGTTCGACCGATTCGGATGCATCTCCCGATGCTGCCACTTGTCCAATGTATGTCGATTCTCCCTTCTGCTGAGCCACCTGGGAGGGGAATGCCCCTCAGTTTTTCCCTCCGGGGTGTTGTCCTGATGGGGCATAAAAACTTGGGACTGATTGCCACTCACTTCTGAGCAGTCTGGCAGGCTCAGCTCCTGGACGTTCCTAATGTTAAGCATCTTCATCACCTGGTATTCAATGGGAAGCCCATGTGTGTCGAACCCGTGAATCAACATCACGCAGTAATTGCTCATTAGGAGATATTTTAAATATATGTCTTTTACAATCTTGTTCAGTATGTGTCCGATGTGAATGTCGTTGTTTGCATAGGGTGGTCCATCGTGAATGATTCGTATCTTATCATATATCTTCCTGTAAAAATGGACTAGTCTTTTTTTCTCTTTTTTTTTTCTCTTTTTTTCGACATTTTGGCTGGACTCTCCAAATTGGTTTACATTATGATCCCTTCTGTATCGATCCTCGGTATGCCTCTCCTGGTTGGAGATACTGCCAATAACTTCTGTCCATCTCAAATTTGTTACGACGTTTTTTTTCTTTATCAGCGGTTCTGTCCGAATGGGTTCTTCTCCCCTCGTGAGCTTTCCACATCTGCTGAACCGCTTTTTCTCCTCTCCATGGGTAGCTTCTTTTCCCTTCTTCCTCCCATGCCCTATGCACTTCTTCACATTGGCGAAGTTGCGTCTTTCGTAAACCCGTTCGCTGTTCCAGAGGTCCTGTATGTGTTTCTGCCTGGAGGAAGGGGACAGCCCGGTGAGAGCAAACATGTATGGATAACTCGATCAAAGGAACTATGTGAGGACGTGTGCAGACAAAGCGCCCCTCATTGGCCGCTCATTGGCCCCTCATTGGCCCCTCATTGGCTGCTCATTGGCTGCTCATTGGCCGCTCCTGGGCTTACCTGTCGAAGCTGGCATACGTGGTCGGCATAACCTGCACGGGAAGATTCACCGATTGCTTAATTACGTCCCTAATTCTATTTCGGTGCTCATTTAATGCGTGTTTGCGTTTTCGGCCATATGCTTCCACCGCTACGAAGCAAGGGATAACTGCTTTACTTCGTCCCTGGCAGAGATGCTCATTTAAGATCTGCACAACGTTGTTCGTCCTCTTAAAGCAGACCCCCCCCCAGTGTTGTGTAATGACTTGAACGAGCAGTATCGCTGTTGCCGTGAGTGTTCTCCTCTTTTTCATTTTATGAGTGCTCGTTAGTCGAGCTCATGCCCATGGGAATGGGGACAGACCAGGATACAGAGCGATGCGTTTGTGTGTGAGGAGGAGAGTATAAACACACCGTTAGCCATGGATACTTTCAAAGCCTGGGAGAGAAGCAAACTGGACTAAAAGTGGACTCTTCCTTCTTCTTCCTCTTCCTCATGCTGGCATATCCTGTCGGTCTTCAACATGGAGGGGAGATCCTACCCAACAGAGCATGACCTCTCAACCAGGGGGGAGGGCGTTGCCACGATGGGCTGATGGGTCAATGCCACCATGCGCGGATGGGCTCATGGGCCGATGTCCGATGTGGCACTGCTCTGTTATCCAGATCTGTTGCACTACTCGGCGAGGTGCCTAGAGGAGAGTCAAACACATGGCGGCTGAAAGATCGTCCTGCAGAGGGAACCATGCGTAAGTTCTATCACTGTTACAGAAAAAAAAAAAAAAAAAGGAGAAACATACACACTACATAGTTCATCTCGCTTTGGAGAAGATGCCCATGAACATTATTGGGCGCGTTAATATACTGTAACTGATCGATTCTGCCGCTTCGAAGAACTAGGTCGGCCCTGGAGACGACGCTGCGGAAGCGGTCGCACGCGGGATGGCGAAAAAGAGGATTTCTTCGCGGGGTCGACCACTCACAAATGCGCTCAACAGAAGTCAGCTTCCACAAATGCGCTCAACAGAAGTCGCCTTCCACAAATGCGCTCAACAGAAGTCGCCTTCCACAAATGCGCTCAACACAAAATCGCTGAACAGAGAGTGCCATCAACAAAGTGGGTACCTGCAAAAATGCCAACCCCAAAGGAACACCCCACGCACAATGCTCGGCTATGCAAGAAAAATTAACCACATCAAGAAAATTCTATACAGAGAGAAGGCAAAAAAAAATAATAAAACCAGGTGTCACATCCAGCACGTGACCTACAACGATCAGCACAAGGAGACCGTGACCTTATCATACAGAAGGGGGACGCTAACACAGGTGATTGAATATGCAGAAAGGGAAAGGGACCTTCTCCTCCTCAGTGATCATGTGGAGACGCGCAAAAAGGGGACAAGTCATTTTTTGCCACCTCGAAAGGGGAGTCACCTAAGTGTGCCTTCTGCTGAGAATGGCCCTGCGTGGGTCGGCCCCACACCCGATGGGGCGCCTCGACAGGGGAACGGCCATCGTGAACAGGCACACAGGGATGGCGGGGGGGGGAACAACCACAACGTCGATATTTCCTCCTACGAACCGCTGAGCAGCACGTCACCAGAAGATAGCCTCCGAGTAGGTAGCCCAATCTCCCCACACATGAGCAAGCATAACATCACGGTGATAAAAGAATATCAAGACGAGCAGGAAAAAAAACGGAACGGACGAAATGGACGATACGAAGGAAGCGAAGGAAGCGAACGAAGCCAAGAAAGCCAACAGGGCAAACAGAACAAATTGGTCCTCCACTACCATCTGGGGAGCATAAAAGGCGTACTGACCATTTTGGACAAGTGCCAGGCGTACAACTACAAGAACGGTAACTTACTGGAGGACATATGTCAAGTCGTCCCTTCGCTCAATCTAAGAGAGATAAGCATAAAGGACCTCCTCACCATTCTACATGCCTTGATTAAATTGAATTATTTCAATGAGGGATATTTTAATTATATGTTTTTGTGTCTCCTAAATGAGCATTCTTTGAGCAACTCCGATTTGATATCCATCTTGTTTGTTCTTTCCAATGTACACAATCTTACCCCTTTGAGTTGTGTCCTCCTGTACAGAGTCAATTTTATGCTGCTCCATAGGATGCACTCTCTCTCCCTACATCAGCTGCATAATGTGCTGAATGGCTATCTGAAGATGTGCAGGCGGGTGTCGGCTCGGACAGAATTTGAACGGGCAAGTAAACACCAGCTGACAACGGAGGATGGGCGAGGCTGCCCAAAGATCAATTCTGAAGCTTTTGAGCTCTTTTACAAGCTAAGATTTGACGGGGCCGCCCAACCAGGGGAGAAGCCTGCCAAACGGAGCAGCCCACGAAACTGCGTCCACCTCATATTCCGTCTCATTGAAAGTCTAAGGAAGAAAAAGATCCCCATGGGGAAGCTGAGCAAATTCGTAACCCCCCAGGATTGCCTCAACAAAGCTTTCATCACGCATTTGAAGAAAGAAATAGGCCTCCTCTTTGTGAAGAAGTTAAAATGTGAAAACGTCCTGTTTAACCGACTGGAGAGGAAGCGTCTCTATGCATTGAGGGATTCCATTTTGGCATCTCCTAAAGAAAGGGGTCTCAATGGGGAGGAAAGCGCGCCACAAAAGGGAAACCCCCAGTGGCATTCCCGCAGGGAGGAGAAGTCTCAAATGGGGATCCAATTAAGGGAGCGCGAACTTAATTCGGCTCCTATCTCCTCTCAGAAAAGGAGGGCAGACACAGGGTCGGCCTGTATCAAGTTGAAGCTGATAAAGAGGATGAAGAGGCAGCTGGACGCCCGGCTCCTCGTGCCGCTGATCAGGGTGTGTGAGATCCGCAATGGGAATCGCCACGCTCGTGATAACAAGGATGAGGAACGCCTCTCAAGCGACCTCCGTAGTGGCCATCTTGAGTGTGCTCCCCCGAAGAGGAATCCCCCTCTGGACTTCCTCCTCCACTGCTACAAACACCTATCGCTCAAGTTCGATGCAAAAAGCCTGGTGGTGACCCTGAGCTGCTTCTCCCAGCGAAGACAAGCACAAACGGACGAAGTGCTTCACATGCTAATCAACCTCATGGAGAAAAAAATAAATAAATTTACTCCAGAACAAATAGTGGACCTGATGAACAGTATCTCCAACCTCAGAGATGAAAGGATACCAAATGGAACTCTGAATTTTCTAATTAGATTTCTCTTTAACAAGAATGGAATTATTTACCTCAAGGATGCACACATGAGTACTCTCCTAAATGTGATTCAAAAAAAAAAAAAATTCATTAATGAAGATGCTGTTCATTATATAAGTCACTTTGTCGTCAACCATAAGCCACCTTTTAAGAATATGAAAAATATGTTTTCCTACTTTTCCTTCCATTTTCATTTTAACAAATTTGGCGACCAATTTTTAAGTGCACTTTATTGTTCCTTCCTCAGTGGAAGCAGCGGTGGGAACCTCCTCGAGCTGGATCATCTCAATCGAGTTTTATCGTCCACTTTGGTAATTCCCACCCGTTGGAAATATCAAAAAAGGGTCTTCAAAAAAATTGACACTTGTCTTTTGTCTATTCTGAGCAGAATGAACCGTTCGGACTATTTTCCCCGTCGGAGGGACCTCTCTGATTTGGTCCAACTTATTTCCCACATGAACAACTCCATGACGAGGGAGGTTTATAAAGCGTACGAGGGTGAAATAAACCAAATGAGGCGCAAGAAACATTCCCCTCGAGATGAGATCACAAATTGGGTATGCGGAAGGACGAATGGTGCAAATGGACAAGTCGGAGAAGGTAACTCTACAAAGATCGCAACACAGAAGAATGGAAAAAAAAAAAAAAAATTGCAATTTTATTACGCACACAATTCGTACAATGAAGTGTATCTCATGACGTCATCCTTCAATTTAAAAATCTTCATTTTGATCAAAAAAATCCTCCAAAAGATGTTAAATGGTAAGGGATGTGCTAATCTGCACAATGAAGAGATCGCTCTCCTGATAAAGACAGTAACAAATCTGTACGAAATGGAAAGAAAAATCACCAAGATGAACAAAACATACACCTATTTTTACGTTGCAACAAAGTGGAGATGTAAGAAAAACAAAACGTTAAACACGTATTTTTTAAAAATAATTAACCAGATTAACAGAGATATTCTCCAATTTTTATGCAAAATGGACCAGGAAAGGATCTTTCTCTGTAACGTTCACATGCTAAGGAGTAACTACCTGTTTGAGCCGCTAATGAAAGAACAACTCCTTCTGTCCCATCTTCAACAGAGTGTGTGCCGAATGGGGAACAAACCAGTCAGCACAGGAAGTGCCGTTCTTTTCTTTAATTTTCTCAGTTCATACAAAATTGACGAAATGGTGTTATCCAGCAGGGGTGTACACTTGAAGGATGTGTTGCACAACCCGAGTGTAACGCGAGCAGGTAAAAAGAGGCCTGTCCAACTAGATATCCTAGCTAGCTAAAAAGAAATTCTTTTTTTTTTTTTTTTCCACCTTTTCGCCTGCACTGTTCATACATTTCCGTGCTGGGGTAACGAACCAACAGGGGATTCGATTTCTGCGTCAGCAGTGGATGAGTGAGAGGTGGATGCGTGTGCAGTTTTGCAGGATGACATTACTGCGCCGTCACAGTGCCAGCGTCATGTCATCGTCATGCGATTGTCATGCCATCGTCTTGCCATCATCATGGAATCGTCCTTCCATCATCATGCAATCGTCATGCCATCGTCGTGCCCCCCTGCAGGCTTCGAAGAACTGGAGAGGACGATCCTGAAGGCCTTCCTGGCTAGCCAAAAAATGGAAAGTCCAAACCGAAAAAGAGAAAAACTGTTTGAACTCATGTACAGTGAGAAGAAGAGACAAAAGTCCAGGATAAAAAACGCCATAAAGCATTTCTTTTTAACGTATAAATTCACAAATTGGGAATATTTAAAAAAGTACCAACAGGAAAAGAAAATCTACATAAATAAAATTTCGAACAACCTGGAGAGAAAAATGTTAAAAAGGAAAATAAAAAAAATGGACGATCTGGTTAAGCAGAATAGCAGCTTTAAGCATATGAACAAGTACAACAAATTTTTAATTTGCAAATTTGCCTCAAAATGGAAGAAGAAAAAAAAATATTTAATCCTTAAGAGCACCATTAATTCTTCCTATGTGGACGCAAATGACATAATCGAGTTGTTGTTCAGCTCAGTTGTTATGTCCATTAGACATCTTGTCAATCACCCTAAGGGGAGTTTTCCCCGTGCACGCGAGCATCCCACCTGTGAACCCCCCATGTCTGAATACCCCAAATGTGTAACATTCCTGCTAAAAAAAATGATTGTCTTGAAGAAGCCCAAAATCGTTAACATCACATACCCTCTCTACTTTAGACTCCGTCTCTGTATTGAGGCCATCAAATGGGTGTATCCGAGGCTGATGAAAAATTATGGGCACATATTAATGTACTGGAAGAAAGTCATAGGCGGGCATTTGGGGGGCGAGAAGACCTTTAAAAATTATTTCGACTACGCGCAGAGCGGGGGTATGAACGGTATCAGCAGTAGCAGCGGGAACCATATGTTGAGCGCATGCCACATGCTAGCAAACGGGAGCGATTGCAGCAGCGCCCTCCACGTGGTTACCCCTTTAAACGGGCAGACGAAACAGAGCCTCACGAAGGATACAAACGACGCCCTCCAAAAATTCCTAACCTACCCCTGCATTTCGCAAACCAATTACAGATATAAATTAAAAAGTAAAAAAACCTACTCCCTCGAGAATTCACTTCACTTTAAAAATTCGAAATATTACAAAAACGTAGTCTTTCACGACATGTACGAGCACGTGAGCTACCTTCAAAACAGCTCTCACCAGCTGTACATTAATTTCCTGCACTTGAAGAGGAGACTACTACGGCGAAGTAACCAGGGGGGGCAAAGAAGAAAAAATAAAAAAAAAAAAAAAAAAAACTATAAAAGCGTAAAGCAGTTAAACTGTAATTGTGCCAAACGAAATAGCATATTGTTCAAATGCTCATTCAACATAGTTAACGTAAAAAAAGTGGAAATGTTTCATAGCCATCTGGTCAGAGTAGACGTGGCTAAACGTAACGGTACCGGCAACATACGCACCTTTTTTGTCTTCCCCTACGCGCCCTTTAACCTCAACACAGTCGTAAAAAATGGCACAAGCGAAGATAACGTGCTGCAGTTGTCCGCATCCACATTTTGCAAACGCGAATTATTTTTAACTTTATTTTTGATGAAAGTGGAATTGGCGAAGCACATCCAGACAGAGTAATAGCTACAAAAAAAAAGTTGTCCTGAGAATGTGCCAATTTTTTTTTTTTTTTTTTTCCTTCTCCTCACTGAGGCGGATGTGACAACTAGAAGGCATCGCCCGCGTGTATAGGGGGGAGTATAAATTGTATTTTCCTCTCCTCCTTCACCTTGTTGATAAATGTGGTCAGCAGTCCTCGCCACATGCATTTCGATGTGAAGCGTTGCCGAGTGGCTGCCTAACCAGATAGCCATCTTTTCAGACCTCTTCAACACCTCTTCTTTTCTTATTCCCCATTTCTCCCTTTTCAGGTTAAACATCGTGCCCGTGGCCACGGACAAACTGAACAGCATCCGCAGCAGAAAGGAGCTCCATTTGTACTTATCAGCAAAACTGTTCTGTTGAAGAAATGGGAAATTTGCCATGCGCAAAAAGGTGTGCCAGTTTGTCAGTACCATATGAATTTTTTTTTTTTTTTTTTTTTGTATTTCCCCCTTTTTTTCGTACATTTACCTGAACATGGTCAGAAAAAACAGAAACGTCGATTCTTCCCCATTTATAGCCTAAATGGGTGGAGTCTTCACAGCAGAGTAAAGCTAAGCCTATCTGAATTTAGCGCTCATCAGCATATGACTCAGTTGCCTTCCATTTTGGGCAAAACAACGTATCGCTTTTTTAACAGTATAGAGATTACGCGGGGATACTTTCTCTTCTTTTTTTTTTTTTTAATTTATCCTTTGATTTGTTTAACCCAATGGCAACGTCACACCGCTGTCTCATTTGTGAGAGCGTACCCACATGAGTGATAAATAGATGGGCTGTGTTTTCCGGTTTCCTTTTCGTATCCGAATGGAAGCGCGGCTACTGCGCTGGGGCAGCAAACGCACCGTTCTCCGCAGGAATGGCATCATGTAGGGGAATGCGTTGCGCTATGTTGCATTTGCTACATTTGCTGCGTTTATTTTTTTTCCCGCGAACGCCTCGCCATCTCGGAGAATATATCAATTTTCTTAATTTTTATTTCGTTCAAGGTGACCCAGCAGGGAAGCACATAAAACACATGATACGTAGCATAATGCGCAGCGTAATGTACGGCACAATACGCAGCGTTGACTTCCATATGATGCGGTTCTTCGCGCCCACTTCCCCCGTTTAACAATTTCCAATGGGCGGACGAAAGGCCGATATAGTTAGCTGCGCATAGCTCGGAATAGCCTCTCCTCTTTCCCCCTTGGGACATTTACAAAAAAATAATGCCGCGCTTTTTACGTACCTATCGTGAAATATCTTTCTCAAAAGGTTCGCGGCCCCCACACCATACATATTTTTGTTTTCATGTTTATATTTATGCATCCCCGCCGCGGTCATCGTGATTTTCTTTTTCCGAAAAGAGACGCACCGCATTTTACCTTCCCTGCGTTAGCCCTTAAAAATTCATTCCCCTCACAAACTACATCTATGCATAACGTGACGCCTCCACATCAATGTCTAGAAGAAGCATACGTCTACCCGCGGAGGTCAGTAGGATCCTTTACGTCAGGTGAGAGCAATTTTACCACTTTGGAGAAAGAACAAAAGGGGGAGTCTCTTAATTGTGAAAAGGGTTCCCAGCTGTTTAGCGGAAGTGAGAGAGAAAAAAATCCATCCCATACGTGTAACATATATAACTGTAATGACCATTTCAGTGACTTCTACTCTGGTTCAATGTACTAGTAACGTGCGAATAGAAATGTACTTACCACGCCTGATCGCCGCACCATGGCCCGTCACCCATAAAGCCGCGTTTCCCTCTTTGCAGAAACCTGCCTTATAAAATATCGGCCGATGAGCTGTATGACATTTTTGGTAAGTACGGCACAGTGAGACAAATACGGAAGGGAAATGCCGAAGGGACGAAGGGAACATCCTTTGTTGTGTACGACGATATTTATGATGCCAAGAATGCTCTGGACCACTTGTCCGGTTTCAACGTCGCGGGGAGGTACCTCGTAGTTTTGTATTACGACCCGGTGAAGGCTCAGAGGAAGAAGGAGCTGCAGGAGAAGTTGAAAAACGAGCAGGAGGGGAAGAAGTAGACAAGCGGAAGAACTACAGGAGGTATGGCGGGGAGAAGGGCTCCCATTTCGCCAATCACGGTGAAAGCGAAGAGAGAGCCCCCACTTAGGCATTCACACCGGATGGGGGTGGAGGCTCCGTGAGCAGAACCCGATTCCATATAACGTATCCGTATCGTGTCCATTTCGCCCCACACCATTTGGCAGTTGCGTAAAAGCCATTCTGCAGAGGTACACGCGAGACGCAGTTTTGTCTAACTGGTATCTTTTTTAAGTAAAATATCAGGGGAATAAATTTTCCTAGTGTCACATGTGACGCGCATGGCAAGATTGCCACCACCACCCCTTCCCCGGGGCACTTTTTTTTTTTTTTTTTTTTTCCATTTCACATGATAACGTAAAAATAATTAAAACAATTTTTGTTTAAGTTACAATTTGTGAAGAAAATGTTTAGTTGGACAGCCCGTTGCGGGAGAAGCAGCTTCCCGCCCCGCTACTTCTTCTTGGAGACTTTCTGCTTGGGCTTGTGCAGGTACACGTAGCCGCCCTTCATGGTGTAGACGTTCATCCGGACGATTCGGTAGAGGCGGTGGGAAACGGACCCCACGTATTTCTTGTTAAAGCCGTGCACATTAATAATGGTTCCCGTTCTGTCAACATCGATGCTTACGTGCCTCTTGTGCATGGTTAACACTCTAGTGATGTCGATATTCTTTGTCCCAATGCCTAGCCGGACGAAGAGCCTCTTCACCGTCTTTGTCTTGTACCATTTGTCTTTCTCCTTCCCTCCAGGGTTGTTGCTAATGTCACTATTTTCATTTTCGCTTACACCTCCTTGCGCACTGTTATTCTGCACCGTCTGGACCTCCGTCATAGGGGAAATCTTAAAGTTATAATATTGCTTTGTGTTTCCCCTGTACGTGGGCTTAAAAGGAGTGTAACTGACGTCTTCATAGTAGCACTTGACCCCTTTCCCTGAGAGCACAATTTGGACAGAGTAGCCACAGGAAAGGTCTTTCATTTGATTTTCAATTTTTTTATGTTGGACACTTTTGGCGTTACAGCTAGATATGAGTGCTATGTCTTTTTTTATTTTCCCCTCTTCCTCTATCAACAGGTGGTAAAATCCCATGTTGTATTTTTTGCCAAAAAAGTACGAAGCTCCCAATTTGGACACACTCCCTGGCCACTTTGTAAAATAAAAATTTTTCTTTTTTAAGAAATTGTTACCCGTGTGTTTTTCTTCATACTGATGGAGGTTATTCTTTCCTACATTGGAATCACAATTTCCTTCTTTCGAAAAAATGCTGTAGCCGTAACTTCCAGACACTCCAAAATGTCTTTTGAGCAGCTCACATAAAGTACGTTTACGTTCACCTGCACATTCGGCGTATCGTGTCCTCCCCTGGGCAAATAAAACGGTGTGGGAAATCGCCCTCTTCTGCAGCAATTGTGGTATCATTTTGAAGACAGCATTGTGTTTTTCGGTGGGTGGAGATAAACAAATGGGGACTTAAAAAAAGTTAGTCATGGGACGGCAACGTCATTTCTTCCGTTATTCATTCCGTTTGAAGAGTTTTGCAGAGATTTTTTTTTTCCCACTAACCCTTTGTCAACGATCCCAATCGCACACATATGCGGTGAATAGCAGGGGTTGCAAAAAATAAACACGTTATGTAGCTACGCTGCACCCTTGTTCTACCCTGTTTCGCTAATTTTGCTTTACACATTTGTCCATGCGATGGTCATTTTGACGATTTGCTTCTCTCCCAGTGGGGAAGGGCAAAACGGGATGAACACTGCGTGATAGCGGGAGACCAATATTGGGGAAAGCATTCCAGAGAAAAAAAAAAAAAAAGAAAAAAAAAAAAAAAAAAAGAAAAAAAAAAAAACAAAAAAAAAAAAAAAAAAAAAAAAAAAAAAGAAGAAAAAAAACTTCAAAAAGGTGGCTCCCCCGAAGGGATGAGCATACGAGAAATCTTAGTAATAAGTATACCCTCCCTCTGACTAAACTTCAGAGGTGAATTACCTGCGTAAAACTCTCCCTTTTAGCTGCATCGTTGTTTCTTTCTTTTTTTTTCTTTTCTTGGGTAGCTTTTCCTTTTATCTCTACAAAAAATTTGCATGACTTGTTCATAATTTTTACGCCACATTGTGTGGTGCATACTGCACTAGCTATTTTTTTTTTTTTTTTTTCTCAAAAGTTATGAACAAGTCAGAATTTCCTTTTTTTTTTTTTTTCACCGCAAATATGACCCAGACGATGTGAAACAGAAAAATGGTGGTTTATTAATGTTAAAGAGGAAGGGTTACCACATTGGTCCATTCCTTTTGCATACTGGTATGAAGGTACATATATGTACATGACTACATATGGGTTGCTTCTCCAGAAAAGTGTGCCAACCGGAGTTTCTGTTTCCCCGCGTTGGAAAGAGAACAACTTGAAACACCCCTCCCACCCCCCTCTCGCCGTTGCACAAAACGTAGTTGTATGAGGAAGACATTTTTTTTCTTCTTTTCCAGAAGGGAAGATTTCCGTTTATCCCTTCTTCGTACACCAATCTGCACATTTTAAGAAAAAATAAACGCACGTTGAAATAGTTAAGGGGCTAAAATCACAACGCAATTGTAGCAACGATTTTGGAGGGACAAAATAAAGACGCGGTATGTAACAGGGGATGTCTTTTTCACTGTGCTGGCTACGTCTCCTTTTATGCTTAGTCGAAGGGATAAAACCCTGTTGCACACACGTGGGGTGACCGCAACCCTGTGTGTGAGTACATACATTTACTTGCACATAGATGGAGTCATACCGTGTGCGTATGAAGGCCCACACTTAGAAGGGGGACTATGGAAGGTAATGGCAAATCGACCCATGCACCGAAAGGGGGAGGAGCTGTCGGAACGCCAAAAGCGGAGAGACCCACCGAAACCGCGAAAGGAAAAGCACAAGGAAACAAAAAAAGAAAACAAGGAAAGGCACGGAACGGAAAGGAGCCCTCCAATGACGAGAGCGATGAAAGCGACGTCTACTTTTACAACGACCTCCAGAGATGGAAAAATAATGTGAAAGTACCAATATGGCTAAAGAAGCCAAAGGACAAAGAATCGATAAACGAATTTTACAAAAATGTGATTAAAAAATTGTTACGAGTTAAGAACAAAATAAGAGCGTACCGGATAGAAGAGGCATACCTTATAGACTGTCTTCGAAGATGTTTGATTGACTTAAATTTAAATTCAATTAGGTCCCTCGATTATGTGAATTATAAAATGGTTAGGAGACTATGTGCAGATGACTGCAGCACGATTCTCAAAAATGATGGACAGGACGAAGAAAATGGGAAATGTTTTAACCGCACCAAAAAGCAAGGTGACCCAGCGGATAGTAAAAGAGACATTCTGCATGAATCTATTCTGAAAGAGGACAACTATGCAGATCAGATTACGCACATTCGTGTGGACTCAGCACCCGACAAAGTAACTCCTCTAACTGCAGAAGACATAAAGTGCTTGATAGATAGCTTGAAAAACGCCCTATCGGTGGAGCAAAGAAACAAGAAGAAAGATCTAATGAGACACGTCTTTAACAAGGTAATTATTCCGGGGGCATTTTTCGAAAACAATAACTTCTGCCCCATTTTTATGAACCTGCTAAAGCTGGACATATACAATGCTTGCTGCTTGAGCGGCACAGAGGTCAGTCCCAAGTTGATGAGTCTGATTCGACTTTTGAATAACTTTGATGAGGGGGTGGCCGATGCTGGCAGCACGGGGGAGAAGCAGAAAGGCGTTCCCAGCGCAAGCACTGCTGGCACGAAGCAGGAGGATAGGCAAAAGGATGATTCCCAACAAGGGGATGTCAAACGGGGCGATTCCCAACGGGGGGATGCGCAACCGCTTCGCAGCCACCACAACGAATCAGAGGATAACTCCTATAGGGAAAATTGCCTCTTTTTCCAAAGCCAAACGTCCCTATTCAAGCTATCGCAGTATTGTATAGAAAAGCGCCTCGTGGAGAACCACCCGGTCACTTCCTTTGACACCATCTACATTTACAACGGGAAGGAACCCCACAGTGACGCCAACCAATCCCAATGTGACAGTGACAAGTGCAAACAGAAGAGGAAGAAATTACTCCCCCATGCAAATTTAAAATATTCTCTCGATATCCAGAAAAAAAAAAACGAATCTTTACATTTCATTAATGAGAAAAAAGCTATCCTGGAGAATGATTCTACTCGGTGGAGGATCACCCACCGTGGAGGTTCGCATGAGGAGATGAACCACCCCCATGCGGAGAGACAGTATGAGGAAGGTGGTTCCCCTGTTAAGGAAGAGGTTACGGAAGAGGTTAAGGAAGAGGTTAACCGACGGAACGAGGACGAAGCGGCTCTGGCCAACGAGAAGGTCGCTTCTCTCAAGGCAAGGGAAAGTTCATGTGGGAGAGTCGTGCAAGAAAATTTAAGCCATTCTGATAAGAAGAAGGAACTACAAGATGGGGAGATTGCTCCTATAGAGAAAGAGGCCATTTCTGCAGAGGAGGAGGCCATTTCTGCAGAGGAGGAGGCCATTTCTGTAGGGGAGGAGGCCATTTCTGTACAGGGGAGTATAAAAGAAACGGAGCAATCGTTTGACAGCGCGGTGAGAAGCGTCAAGGGGACAAGCAATTTCGATTACAAGGGGAGCCACCCAAAGTGTCACACAGAAGAGGGCTCTAAAGAAGACGCACTCAATTATTTACAAAACGATTGGCTTGAATTCGATGATGATGGAGGCGTAGCAGGACGGGGGGAATTAGACGAAGAGTCCTTGCATGGAGGTGATACCAACGGGTGTGAGGCGCCACGAAGGGAAACCACTCCGTCAACAGACACAGAAAGGTGTAGGCTGTATAAAGATAACGAGCCCGAACGAGGTGACCAAATGGATGAATTACGTCTGGAGGTAGCTCAGTCAGGCACCCACAACACTGAACGTAACACAAAGCTACGTAAGAGGAAGCTGTCCCACAGTAGCCACAACAGCGCAAACGAAACTCAGTCCTTCCAATTCGACACCTTTGAGCTTTTTATGGATAATGGAAAAATTAAAAAAAAGAAAATGCTGGATGGCATTAACGAATTTGAGCATGTCCCGATTGAGGGGAGAAACTCCACTGGGAAGTGGCACGACAGTGGATGCAGCGATTTTACGGGGGCGAAAGTGAGGGTCCAGTTAGAGAGTCGCGAAGTGGGGTGCGGTACAGAACAGTGGTCGGGTAGAGACACAGATAGGGAGAGCTTTGCTAACCAGGGCAGCAGCCCCCTAGATGGAGATAACCCCCTCAACCGGAACGACCACATAACATCGTCCATAGAAAAGAGCCCTACGAGCGCTCGTCCCCCGAGTGGACACTCCCAAGCGGGTCAAGACAGCGACACGTCCGTCATCATAGAAATGATTCACCACGACAGGAAGAAGGATTCCGATTCGGAAGGAGGGGCAGTGAATCCGATGGAGAAGTTTCCCCCCAGCATAACAAGGCCAAATTGCAGCACAGCTGTTTTGTCTGATTTTTCTACACACAAGGAAGGACATCCGGAGGAAGAGGATAAGAACCTCAGATCGGGCATAGGCCACTTGTGCGACAATGCCAGTGTCAGTTGCGTTATCGATATGAATGACTATTTGAAGGGCGATGGTGCAGAGTGCCTCCCCCTCCTCCCCCCCAAGGTGGCTTCCAATTCGGAGGTCATCGTTTTGGAGGACGACGATGAGGAGGGGGAGGAGCAGCGGAATGATGATAACAGCGGGGAGAGCAGCGCCAGGGACAGCCACCACAGTGCGCGCAAGTGGGAAGGTATGATCGAGGCAGTGAAACACACACCTTGGATGAATCCCCCAACCCGAAGGGATGAAGCAGACGGGAGCATCTCTACCCAGACACCCAAAAAAAGAGAAACTGAAAGTAAGAAAGAACTCTCTATCCTCAACATAGACATAAACAAAATGAACAACGTAGTGCTGGAAGGACTTATGGAATTTTTTGGACTAAAGAGTAAAAGACTGTCGAGAAAAATCTTAATCACAGAATTGACTAGAATACAAAGGTACCTAAATGAACAGTATGAGCAAATGGCAAGAGAATACCACCCCCCGATTGACATGCGGAAGGATCATTCCAAGTCGAGGAAAGGTAGTAAAGCTCCTCAGATAGATTATCAAACGGGGAGTGACACTTACCGTGACAGGGAAGAGGGGGAGAAGTGGAGAATCTGTACCGACCGATGCAGTGATGGTGTCAGCCACCCGATGGGTGTCCCGCTGGGGGATGTGCATGCAGAGGTACAGCGCTTCTTCCAAGATGAGAAGTGGTTCGACGGTGCTTTCGTAGGGGGGGGAAGTGCCAGCCAGGTGGATATCACTCAGAGGACTTCCCACCAAGTGAGTACCACACAGGGGAGTCCCCTGCCCCTGAATGATGATCAAGCCAAATCGCAAGAGGACTACCTAAATCGGATGAAAAAAAAAATAAAGCAGATGGAATTAAAGGCGTTGTTTGAAAGAATCGATGAGGCTATCTGCGTCAATGAGGTCCTCCACGATCACATAAAAAGGGACAGACAAATTGAGTACTCCTTGTTGAAAAAGTATCTGCTTGATTGCAAACTAAGCGTCAACCGGGAAATTGTCTTGTCCTACTGTAAGGAGAAGGAAATTCAAGTTGTGCTGAAGAAGAAGGCAACGGTGTGACGGTGAAGGGGTCAGCCTTTAGCACTCAGCGTATGGCAATGGGACTCCAAGGTTACCTATCTGTTGTGTACCCTGTTGAGCGGTAGAGGGGAGGCTCAAATACGTGGAGCGATTTTCTCCCCCGTTTTGGTTCCTCCAATCGGTGGCCCACTTCAAGTGGTTAACCCATCCACGTCTCGTGCGCATGAGGTGTACGTTTCGCAGTTCGGCGAGACGGCTCCGCAACACAGCCCCGCAGTCCCACGTTATATCCTCTTTGGCCTTTCCTCTTTAATCATTTTTTTCTTTTTTGTGTATGCCTGCGCCCGTTCACGAATTGTGAATTTATGTGACGCTTTCTTTTTTGGTACTGCTCTGATGTCTCTCAATTTTAAATTTTGACCACTTTGAATTTTTCATACCGTCTGAACTTGTCCTTCGCAAGGAGACCTTTCTATGGGGGCACCATTTGGCTGCCACCACGTGTCCCCCTCCCCCCCGAGGCATACCCAACTGCGTAGGAAAGATATCCACATGCGCCTTTAGCAAGATTGACGGGCCACTCATCCTTGTATTGTTTCTATTTAAAAAAAAGAAAAAAAAATTGTCGACCCAGTTTAGTGGCACAACAGAGGAGGAACGGTTTAACGGATCCAGTGTGACTCCCTCATCTGTTATGCAGAGCAGGAGGCTCTTCCCACCGCGCGAGTCGCTGTCGTCGGGAAAGGGAAAAAAAGGGGAAACATTGCAGAAGAGGAACTCCCAACGGGTGCATGCGCAATTTATAGAAAAAAAAAAAAAAAGGGGGGACGCTAACCGCACTGTGAAGCACAAAGCGCCCACATATATAGAAGTAACTCTTTGCTGAAGTTCTACGACGGAACAAAGCAGATTGTTCCACGGTAGCTTCACCAACCGGGTGTTTACACTTCTATATCAATTCAACCAGAGTGCCATCTCCACCCTTCTATATCAGTTCAACCAAAGTGCCATCCCCACCCTTCTATATCAGTTCAACCAAAGTGCCAGTCTCGGAAGAACCTCATTCATCTAATCGGCACCCTCTCAACCGGACAATCTTTTATCCGCCCCCCTTTTTGGTACCTCCCATCTGATACTCCAATTGGACATAGCGAACTGCCACAAAACAGGCGAACCATCTTAGAGAGGGGGCAGAATTGCACAGCACCAAATTTGCCTTCGCAAAGGGGGGGGGAGGGTGAAGCAACAGATAAGATTACGCAACCGTGAATCCTAATCGATTAAAGGCGAAGGAGCGTCCGAGTTACGAATGTACACCTGCATGTGAGTGTACCCATGTATGCATGCTCGCAGGTGCGCCTACCACGTGTCGCCCCTTGCAGAGAAGTGTTCGCCGTGGGGGCAGGAGGTTTCAAGAGGGAAACATAGCAAGAGACCGCTTCGCAAATATGCAAAGCATAGGGAGAGCAATTAGCGATGATGAAAATGGAGAAAAAGTGAGATGCCCTTCGTCCTTAGTGGGGAGGTTGAAAATGCCCCAAGAAGCGAAGAATGGTAAGTCCACCGCGGGTTAGCGGCCTGTGTCAGGTTTTCGGTTTGTGTAAGGTTAGCGGATTGTCTTCTGTGTAAGGAAAGTTTGTCCTCTGGAGACGCGGCGCGGCTGGCCCAGCATCGCAGCTGACCCCTTGCCGCTCACTCACCATCGCTCCCGTACCACCTCCTATATCATCACCCTTTCCGCGCAGAAGTGATAAACGAACGAAACATGATGCCGGAAATCCCAAATTACCCCCTGCGCCGAGAGCCCGAGTGTCCCCTCAACAGGAAGAGAGACGTCTCTTCGATCCCCAAAAATACGAAAGAGAAGTGGCTCTATCCCTCGCCGCAGCAGTTCTACAATTCGCTCATTAGCAAGAATAAGCACATTGACAGAAATTACATTGACGCTGTGGTGACGGTACATAACGAAGTTAATGAGGAGTCCTGGAGGCACATCCTAAAATATGAGTACCTGCACAGGAGGTATGCCCGCTGTGTGGGAGGGTCACGAGTGGGAGAGTAACCCGTGGGAGTGTCAGCGAGAGGGTTTCTAACGGGATCTAAGAGCTAAGAGAGTACCAAGTGAACAGCACGTCAGGGTAACCGCAATGCTGTGTAGCCGGACTGCTCTGCAGCCGCACTTCTGTCTCGCCGCGCTGCTGTGTGCTCACCGCCGCATGTCCTTCTCCTCCCCCCCAGCAAATGCAGCCAAGTCACTCTGCAGCGATTTCTCGGAAAATTTGACGACCTCTCCGCGAAGGCCAAATTCAGGAGCGTTTTTTCCAAGTAACGGACAAATGGCCAAGCGGCAGTGTTGTCAAGCGGCCACGTAGCACTCCCTGTGTACACGTACACCTGTGCATATGAACAGATCAACTTTTTGCGATCCTTCCTCTGTTTCGTCATACCCTATGTTGAGGGAGGACATGCTAATTGGGAGAGGCCGCCTCTCTATTACCCTCCCGTTGTTTATTACCCCCCTAAAATGAACAACTCCAATTTTATTACCCCCTCGCAGGTTAGGCAAGCCATTCGATAGACACGACTGGTATGTGAACAGATGCGGTAAGGAGGTGAAATACATTTTGGATTTTTACAACGATGAGTCTTTGCAGGATGACAAAAATGTAAGATGTGTCATAATCGGTCCTTCCTCCCCCCGTTCATACCCTTGGGAGGAAAATAGCGCCCGGGGAAAAAATAACTTCGCGTAAAAAATGATGAATTGCTTCTTTCTCCCCCCTCACAGATATACATCGACGTGAGGCCTGCCCTGAACAGTTTCTCAAACATCTGGGACCGAATACGTTACCCATTTTATGAATTTTATTTTAAGCATGTCAAGCGGTACGAGTTGTTTAGGTGACATCACCCCTCTGGTGTGCCCATGTCTTTGTGTGGACATGCCTGACTCACCAGGCGGGAAACCAACCCTGGTCCAGGGATTGTGTCCAGAAAGGGGGGGATAATCAGCGGAAAGGGGAAGTTCGTGCAGTCATGCGTTCCGTCACATATTTCGTCGCTCTTTCTTTCCGTCGATCTTCCCCTTTCCGTTCTTTGTATCATCACCCCGAATGGACTATGCCCCCTCCCCTCCTGGCGTCACCTTCCCCTTGTCCAACTTGTGAAAATGAAAGAAATTTACCTCCACTTGGGCGGAACAGAAGGTATAGCCACTCACCCTGGGGCATAAAAATCCACCAACTGAAGATTAAAAAGAATGATAAGCGTGAATATGTCACGCAATGATTTTGTTTGTCTTTGCAAAAAAAAAAAAAATCAAAAGCCGAGAAAGATACGGGACAAAGGGAGTGCACCCCCAGTGGGACTAGTCGCTACGCAAGGCGCAATTTTGTATTCAGCGGCGTCGGCACATTTGATAAGTAGAGGAATGGGAACCCCAGCCCCGTAATAGTAGACCCCCCCCCGTAGCTGTACATGGCGCGTGCCCGCCTCCCCCAAATTGCAAAGCTTACCATGCATAAAATGCACCTGAAAAAAAGTCAACGAATTTGATATTAAAAAATAAAAAAGGAGGGACACCCGCTGTACGTCCGCCAAGCTGTGCAGACTGTGTCCATCCTCTAACACAGCGTGATAGTTCGCGTGAAAAAAAAAAAAAAAAAGAAAAAGTATTCCTTCCGCATGCAGTGCTGTCCATCGCTTTGTTTAAAAAGTGGGGGCATCACCAAAAAAGAGTGTAACGTGTAACGTGTAAAAAAGGCGTAAAGAAGCACATAACGTGACGCATAGCAGCGCGCACAGCTGCACGAAGGGCAACCGTTCCATTTAAAGAGGCAACGCTCCTTTGCTACACACTTGCATTTTTCTCTTTTAAAACATTTTTTTTTAATCTTTGAAAAAATTTTTTATTTTATTTTTTTGTATCTAAGAATTAACAAAGGGGGAATAAAAAAAGATTTATGTGGGGACTGCTGCGAAGGTGGTGCTGTTGTGAGGAGGAGGGCGTAGTGGAGAGAGTGGCCCTGTGGCAACGGCACATGTGTAAGTGCCTCCACGCACGGGAGGCACAAAGCGTCTGTGTCTAAGCCGCAGGTGGCTGCGGGGTCGGTTCAGATCAACTATCTGCGCTGTGGTATGTGTGCCGGCCGGTATGCACATGCATATGTGGCAAGGGAAACGGCGTACGTACAAGTGGAAAAAAAAGAAATAGAGGAATTAAAAAAAAAGGTATTAGAAAAAAAGCAATTAAAAAAGAAGAAATAAAGAAGAAGCCAAGCCAGTGAGGGGAAGGGGGTTCACAGTTTTGCGCAACGCAGACACTGCAGATCTTTCCATTCCCATTATTTTGGTCCTATGAAGATGGGGTTGCATATATGGTACACATAGGCATGCCAGAGGTTGCGTCGCGTGAGGACGATTTTGTAAAATAACAAAAAAAATGAAAAAATAAAGGAATGATATAAAAGAATAAAAAAAAAATAAAAAAATGAAGGATCCTGCGCCGTGTACCTGTGGAGGCGCCTCAGACTGCCCTGCTAACAACTGTTGCTACTTCCCCCAGAGCGGGGCCATCTCGAGACTACACCCATGCACGAACGCTCCATAGGGGGCACAGCAACGGCGTCAGCGGCATAAGGAGCATGAACGGCATCAACAGCGAAAACGACGTAAAGGACAGCGCAGGGCCCATTTGGCACGACAGGCGGACACACTTAGGCGTTCTTATTGTCGATGGTTATTCTGCTGATCCCATTTATGTTGGCATTAAAAAGTTCGCACTTATCCAAATCAGTCGATGGCGCGTTACTACTGAGGGCCCCCCGTTCGTTCAAGTCTGTGTTGCCATACGTGTTGGCGTTTTCCTGCGCCGCCACGTCTGTGCTGATTTTACCATTCGCACCAGCATTCGCAGGGATGTCACTAAAGACAAAAAGGTTCTCTTGTGTAGACTGATTTGTTATGTTGGAGTTGCTATTATCATCTGCATTCGTCTTGACGCAGTTTATTAACTGAATCTGTTCATTCTCCTTGTCGAATTCTTTAAAATCATCTTTCTCCTCTGCATCCCAAGTTATGCAAAATTTCACGATTCTTGGATTTTCCACAAATATATGTCGACATATTTTATCGTACTGGGGTACGGCGGGTGGCTTCTCTCTCATTTCCATGTCTTTATAAAATGAGTTCATGTAGTAGGCGATCCGAATGAACTCCTTCTCCTTATAGTTGGCTGATATGAGGATGGCTTGCAGGCCCAGCACGCTATCGACGTCCATCTGCGAGGGGGGAGAGAGAAAAAGGAAGTGAGACGGGTTAAACGCTCGGCACGATGCAGAGGGGGGAGATTGCGGTCGCAACGGTTCGTATTTCTTTTTTCAGCGCCAGTAGGCACTCCGATCTGCACGACAGCCAGATGACGGCCACATGACAGCCACGTGATGGCCACTTTCACTGGGGCTGACGCCACTTCCCACGTACGTTCTGGTAGTCGGGCGGATTCACCGCGTAGTCAAACATCATCACGCCTCGCTCGATGGGTCCCAAGAAAATGTTATCTAATTCGATGTCCTGGTTTCCCTCCCCATCGTTGTTCACAGCAGAAATATAAAAGATCTTCCATTCCAAATCGGCCTCTAACTTATTAAGCGCTTCAAACTCAATGGTAAAAACGAATGGATCTAAAATGTCACATATGGGATTGTTCACTATTACTTTCGTCACATTAACTTCAGACATGGTTCTTTTTTATTTGCTGACTGCGAAAATGAGGTGAGAAAAGAAAAAAAAGGCAGGGGAGAGGAGGGAAGCTAAAGGAGTCTTATCGGCCACTAGGAATATTCCTAACGTATGCGAACGGTTGAGACGGCCAGTGAGATCAGTTTGGTCAAATCGTCACAGGGAAAAGGAATTTCCTTAAAAAATTAAATTTCTCACTTAAGAAAAAAAAAAAAAAACACACTTCGTGTTCTCTTGGCCAAGGCAGTCAATCTTCTTTTTTTTTTTTTTGTTTTTTTTTTCTGATACTCCCGTTCCTCATGCGCCGTGCATGCCAAGTAAAAAAAAAAAAAATAGCGCTTTTGCTGTGCGGAAATGCGACCCCCGGAAATGTGCTAAGGCGGGAATACACATTGGGGAGGCAGAGAAAGTGCACATATGTTAACAGACGTGTTAACATGCACGCGTGCCGAAGGAATTGCACGCATGCAATGAAACGTGCAGAGAAGAACCCCCCGCGCAGTTGCAATTTCGGGGGCGCGGTGAAGAGGTGAAGCGGCGAAAGGGCCAAATTGCTAATTAGCAAAAATACTAATCCGCTAATGAATAAAGCCGCTAATAGGCTAATCCACTTCGCCGCGAAATGGTCAGAAGATGCCAACACAAGGCTAACACGAATCAGCGTAGAATGCGGCTCAACTGGCCAAGCGCGTAAAAAAAAAAGAAAAAAAAAAAAAAATTCCCCCTCGATTGGAGTAGGTTAACGAATGCGATACCCCTGGTCTCCAGCGCGAGCTACTTTATGGAGCGTGGAGTGGACCTTCTCGTTGTGTAACACCTTAACCACGCGCATACACACAGTGAGGTTCGCACTTTCGTCACGACAAAACACTGATTTGTAAAAGAAAAGAACAAAAAAAAAAAGAACCGAGTGAACTATTTTTAATGCTTCACCCCCTCTCTTGGAGTGACACTGTTTGGGTTGTCTTCAGGGATGAAGCGGAGTTATGATGAACAAGGCACGTGCGGAAAGGGGGGGACATATCGGCACCCATGTCGTGTATCCATGGTGAAATCGACAAAAGAAGAAAATCCACGGCATGATGCTTCTTACGAGGTAAGCAGGACCCCCTCAAAGGAGCCAACATCACTTAAAAAAAAAAAAAGGAAAATTACAAAATTTCACATGGCACATATGCGTACACGCAGCTGCTGCTCCACAAATGGGAAGACATAAAAATGATCTTTCGTCAACCTAGACACCTGCTCATTAAACAGCGGAGGAATCTCCTCAGTTCAAGTTTCCCGGTTGCTTCTTTTCCTATAAAACGAACACCGTAATGTAGGCACGTCCAAAGGGCGTAGGGGTAATTATGGCCCTCTGCTCCCGCCCTTGCCCCTCTTCTTTTCCTTTCTTTTAATAATTCCAACTGATCGATGCGAACCGCTTCGATGTTTTCATCTGGTCGTTTATCACTCCAGGAGGGGAGAGAAGATAACAGTTGTCACAATTCCATCTCTATCCGGTCCACTTTATTTGGGACAAATCGGATGTAAGTTTGACAAAAAAGGGAAAAAAATAAGCAAAAAAAATAAGCAAAAAAAATAAGAAAAAAAAATAAGCAAAAAGGAAAAAACAAAATGGCTTCACAAAATGGCTCCACAAAATGGCTCCACAAAATGGCTCCACAAAATGGGACAAGTCCTCACCAAGTGGGGGGCAAACTCACACCGAGGCCCGCCGCGCACAGAGCTGACCTAGCCCCCTCCGGAGGCAACAGAGCTGTCCCCAAAAAGGTCATACACGTAAAACGAATTCGCCTTAACGGAGAAACACAGATTATCACCACCGTTGAAAAAATCGGCAGCAAGCACGTTGTATCTCACATTGGTATTAAACCAAGGGACGTTACAATACACATAATTTGTACCTAAATCGATGAGCTTAATGCCATTCTTTGCCAGCTTAGTATAATATAGTAGACAATTATGAGTGGGGTTAAAAATAGCATTGCTAACTGGGAGCGTCAAATTTTTAAAGCTCTTGATTGGGGTCGTCAAATCGTCTACTCGAAATAGATTGAGAAAGCCAGTAAACGAACCCGTAACGATATAATCCTCGTGGAGGGTAAAACATGATGGAAAAACGGAGTGGTTATCCACAACTCTGTTGATTAACTGATTTGTGTTCAGACACCAATTGTATAGATTTCCTTTACTGTCAATGGCGAACAAGCTGTTTGTTTTTTGGTGGAAATTCATACCAATACATTTATAATCCATTTCGAAGTTCTTCACGACATCAAAACTTCTTGTGTCGTAGATGTTTATCTTCCTGCTCTGTTTGAACGATATGCCATACAGGTGGTCGCTACTCTGATGTGATAGCCCCTTCTTTTCCTCACTTTCTCTGTTAAAGAATTTTATTTCCATGGGGACCACACGTCCAGCGTTTCCAAGATGAATGCGATTTTTGTATACAATCCTGTAAGGAAGGAGCAAAGGCGACGAAATGTAGTGAATTATAAAAGAAGAGGCCGTATTGACATGGCGCAAAAAGGAGGTAAAAATATATCGTAGGGGAAAGCATTCCACGGGGGAAAAAAACCCTCACTGCGCGTGCCCTTTTGTGCTTACCCCTTTTCCAAATTGTAGTTCCGAACGTAGTTATCATGCATGAGTATATAGACACTCCCGTTGCTCTCATGCACATGGCCGATCCTCCCGCGGAAGGAGACCTTCTTCGACAGGCTTAGCAACTTATCCTTGTACTGAAGTACATACAAATCGGAGTTATACACAGGCAAAATTAAATTTGCCTTGGGCATACCCACGAGCTGTCTAATTTTTTTGTCCTGAATTCGATGGAAAGTAAATTTCTGTAAGTAGTATTTCAAAAATATGCTTTTCTCGTTCATTTTATTTAGTCGTTTCTTCTTCTTTATGTGAGAATCCACTTCGTTGTTATCAAAAATGTATATGTCTTCCATATTGATGGTGGATGCCGCGTCTTTTGTTTCCTCCCCCTCGTACGTTTCGATGTCTACCCTGTCGATGCATTTTTCCAAATAGTTTTCGCTCTGTTCATTTTTGATCAAATGTTCTTCATCCGTTTCATGTCCTATTTCGACTTGGTCTCCCTCTAAGCTTTCGTCATCCTCCGATTCGGCTGCAAACCCCCGGGAACGGCTGTTCAAGCTCTTCTCCAACACATCATCATCCGAGTCATGCCAAACTTTGTTGCTCCTTATGGATCGCATCTTCTTCCCTCTCTCTTCCTGTTTGTCTTCTTCCTCAACGTCATCAACACCGTTGAGATAATTGCCAAAGTCGAAAAAACCTTCCTCCAGGTTGTCGCGTCGATTCGCTTTTTCTTCATATGGATTATCATTTTCTAACATTATAGATGCCTTCTCGGGGGAAGATGCTCTATCTTCACTTGGTCCGTCAAAATTTGTGTGGCCAAGACTCGTCCAGTTTTTGTTTCCCACATAGGCGGTATTATCATCACTTTTTTGTATCCCTACTCGGCCGTTCCTTTGCGCAGCGGCCTCTTGTTTTATTAACTGTTCCTCCGCCTCCCCCTCCTCGTCACTTAAAAACGTGTCAGTAATTATGACATCGTCGCCCTGGATTATGGAGCTATCCATGTTGTTCTACGTGCATTGGGTAGACTGTGCGGTTTGCGCGGACTACACTTGTTTGGGTGGTTCGATGGCACTGTACTTAAACGCGAAATGCATATATCTGTATCTAACAGGATGCACGGAACATTACATTCGTAAATTTGTACTTTCCTATACCCTCCCCGATAGATCCGTTGATTGTTCATTTTTTTTTTTTTTTTTCCTCTGAACTGTTCATACTTTTTTAAAACAACATGAGAACGTACAGAATTGCGGCAAACTTGCCAAGTGAAAACAACGCCTCAACAAAACTGCGCTGTTGAAATTGTGGCAAATTTACATTGCCGCATTTTCTTTATGTTGCTTCTTAATGGATAATACATTTCTTCCGTTATTCTGTTTCTTAAATTTTTCGCTTTTTAATAATTAAAATTTGGGGGGAATATAATTGCTAGCCAATTTACAGCGGATTAGTTTTTTTTTTTTTGTCCTCATCGGAGAAATTTTTTTACATGAACCGTTCAGGTGGAATTTTTTTTGGAGAATTTTTTATCCGCCCAGCATACAGATTGGTGCTTAGCCAGTGGCACTGCTTCTGACGTACATTAGAACCTTTCCCCGTCAACTTTCCTTTTTCATGCCAACGGAGGAAGTGACAATTGGCTGAACTATTCCCCTTTTTGACGACTCCTGAGCGCTACAAAGGACGAAGCTTTACAGAGGTTTAACACCGCCGTGGGGAGGTTAAAAAAAAAAGGCTTCAAAAAGTTGCTGTCACAATATGTTGGCGTGCCGAGTAGTTCTTACGAGCTATTCTATTCACCATGAATTTGTTTCTTTTAAAATGGTTAAACTGAAACTTTGAGAGAACAAAAATATATACCTTACTCGAACACGTTGTCATTGCATACATGTGCCTGTAGGGTGTTAGACTTTTGTAGAGCACGCGTAAATCTACACAACAATGAAAACCTCTTCTGCACACAGGCGTAATTATTTTCTGCTCACCTTCGTCATGCCTCCCCCGCACAACAGATGTATTATTTAACAAAGTGGCTGATTCGTTCGTCAAAAAGGAACCACAAGGGAAAACAAAATTATAACGGAATCGCAATTATATTCGACGCTATTGCAATTATATTCCACGCCATTCCTATCATTTTTTAAGCCATCTTGGCCATTTTAAATGCCTCAATTTTTTTTCTTCTCATTTTAGCATTTGGAAAACAATTTTGTAATATTCTCTCAAATTTTTGTTACTCTTTCCTTTTTGTATA